CTTTTTTTTTTTTTTTTTTTTTTGACAAAATGGGCCCAGTGCCCAACGCTCCAATCATGAATTTGATTACAACATTTTAAACACACGCCTCTTCCCATTAGGGCTGCAAGAGCCTCAGCCACTGCTCCCCTGGAGACAGCTTCCCTGTATAACACCCATGTAGAGAATCGGATAACCAGTTGGCCCCCCAAGCCAGCATTGGCAGGACCTTGGCTGATTGTTGTTGGTTGCTATGCAGCGACAGTATTGGCCATTAGGCATCGCCATGTGGGGTTAGGGGGGCTTAGGGGGGTGTAGGGGGGGGTGCAGTGACTGGCCATTGCTCGGCGCTAGCATCGCCGATGCCCCCATCGGCAATGCCTGCCCACCCCCTCATCACCGTGATGAAGGACTGGTACAGCCTTGCTCTTGCACCGCTGCTGTGGTGCCAACCTACCCTGTGGGCTAGGGAGAGAACCGGGTTGAGCGAAATGAGCGAAATGAGAGTCTAGAGCGTCCGCTCAGTACGACTCAAAGCTCCAAAAGCCATTATGAGGAAGAGAATCACCATAGCACAGAGACACACAATGAGAGCAAGGGAGAATTTGGTGGGAGAAGTGATGGAGAGAAGGAGAGGAGAATGGATAGCTGAAGACAGCGAAGAAGAAATGACACTTGGGTAGCCCAAACAATTGCTCCCTTAACATAAATCGTGAAAACCAGGAGCAACATTGCTACTGGTTGGTGTTCCCCCATACTATACATAGACTAGTGAGAGGATGAGATCGATCCACGACAGAGCAATGTTTCTCTAAAAATAAAAAAAAATAAAAAAATAAAAAAGGATTAGATAGATGCATACTCTCAAGTATCATCTACGTCTGAGCCCTATCAGCTTTATGTTTTATATCTATCCTGCTGATATGTTTCCAACCTCACCCTTGCCTTATTTGCCCGCCCTCTTCTGAGGGCAGTAGGTTTCTCTTGTCTCATCATGGAGAGACCTTGCCGAAAATGGCCAAAATAGGCCCCTTATTCTGAGTTATACTAAAAACCTTCGCAAATGCCTGAAACCAGGTAGGCCATCCATATTCTAATCTAGTTGAATCTACTTGAATCTTGTCTCCAGCAGTATATTCAGCAGTATATTCAGCACTCAAATATATCCCATGTCCCTTCCTCTGTCATCCCCCTTTTTTCCATTTTTCAGTTTTAACTTGCCCTCCCATTCCCCCACTACCCCCTACCGTCTACCCTCCTCTCTCTACTCCCAATTCCTCCCATTCCTTTGTAACCTATCTACCCAATCCCCAATCTATTCTATCGACTGACTGCTGCTTGTGTCCTCCTTTTCCGGGCAGGTTGTATAAAGGAGCGCGTAGTAGAGACTGGAGGGTGGTATGAGGGCGAGAGCTGTAAATATTAGATGGTGCCCAGAGGATCTTAATAGGGAAACTGAGGAAGGGTTTAACACGATGAGAGGCCCGTGAGATTGCTAGAACAACCCCCCGACCCAGCCACTTCTATTCTGGGGGGCATCAGTCCGGTTGCTCATCACCGGCAAGCCTGGAAAACAAAATACAGTTTTGTTTAAAAGAGAAGAGGAAAGCCTTGCCCTTGCGGCCCTAGACTGTGACGCCCAACCTCACGCCCAGCGCGACTTCCTGATCGGAGTGGGATATGGGCCTGGAAGTGCGAAAAGGGGTGTGCCAAGGATTTTTGGGGAAGTGGGGGAGTCTTAAGGGTATGAATGCAATTGGGCGAATAAGGGGCGCATGCGCGAGGGACTCAAGGTCCGATGGGGCCGGGGCACTGTGGGCGACGGTTTACGGGGAAAGTCCTCCGCGGTGGAGGCGGTCCCGAAAAGTTAGGCCGTCGGGGGCCGCCACGTGGCGCAGGCCGCCGCGTACTTGGATTGGGCCTTCGGAATTCCGGAGTTCTCCGTTCGCCGCTACGTCGGCAATTCACACAAAACGTACTGGGCCAATAGGGGACTATGGCCGGCCACGGAATGATGCTGAGTTGATGATACAGGAGAAGAAGGCGGAAAGGAGGGAAACTGGTGGTGATGACGACAAATCCCGGGTGGGTGAAGTAGTAAGTGTGGTCGGGGGAGGGGAAATCAGAGCATCGAGGGTTGCTAGAGGTGGCGCAGTGGAATTCCCGCGGACATAGTCGATTCTCCGTGTGACAGGGGTATCGCAGCCTTATGAGTTCGTTTATCCAAGGGTTGAAAGAATCCGGGTCGTAGGATGAGTCTGAGCTCCAAGATCGTGTCATGGTATCATCGTAGATGGGATAGCTCTGGTCGGGTTATCATCACCTATGTATCCATTCAACTCGCAACGGGTTTTGTACAACTCCGTTGTACCCGTTGTACACCCCCGGGGTCTGAGTTGAATCCCCGTTGAACGGTACAACGGGGGCTTCCCGTTGAAATCCGATCAACGGGTCAGGCCCAATGGGCCGCGGACACGTGGCAGAATACACATGGAAAAAAAAAAGTGAAAAAAAAAAAAAAAAAAATTGCCCTCTGTGTGTGTGTGTGTGAGAAAAACTGCCCGCTTTTCTCGTTTTTTTTACTTTTCCCTTCTTTTTTTTGATTGATTGATTGATTGATTGATTGATTGATTGGTGGGGGATGGGTCGCCCCCCCAACCCCCACCCAATCACACACACACACACACACACACACACACACAAACACACACACACACACACACACACACACACACATACACACACACACACTTGCGCCGCGCAGGGTC